GTTATGAGCGTTTGAAGGTGTTCCATTTACAAAGTGAGAACGAGGAAGCTTGCACAATGCCAGTCAAGGAATGGGTTTAAATTTCGAAGTTAAAATCGAAGAATTTACATTTTTTCATAGAAAAATGAGCAAGTTCGTAACGTACAGTTGTTTGACAAAGGATCACAGTCTTATGCCAATTACCCCAAGGGATGAGTGGCAAAAAAATTAAGTTCGTAGAGCAGTCCATCTTAATTTAGCGCTTAAGTGTTATCGTTATTATACATTCAAATGATCTGTCTATTTATTTATCAACTGGAGCAAATCAAGCGTTACGTAATCACACCTAGTGATACAACTGTAAAAATAGTCGATTAATTTATGTCATCGCTAATGTTACTTACGATCAAGTGAATTTGTTGGCTTGGAAGTATGGTTCGTCTTTGCTATACTGCCTAGGCTAGCGTACCGCAAACCACCAGCGACAGTCGTATCTGGGGCGTGACAAGCGCAAAGGGCTCTAACAGTGCACCATAATTCTATAGTTTGAAGGTACATCGATTGACGAATATTTGTAGGCTTGTTTCTACTCCTGACAGTGTGTATCCGACGATATCTCAGGCTTTTCTTCAGGGTAAACTCGAACAGCAACCGAACCCGCAAATAAAGGCTGTTTGAGGCATCAATGACGTTCAGATAAATGACAATCTTAGACGGTGATGCAAATTGAACAAAGGCTTCCAGCTATTGCTATAGCATTGGTGTATTCCACTGTTAGGGAAGCATCAATCTTCTCCTCGATTTAGCGCTCATCCAAATCTAATTCCCTAGTTAGATATGATATACGTCAGATGCAGTCTTACCGGCAGTATGCGTAACATACATTGATTTCATCTCGCCCCTCCACCCTTCCCGTTCAATCGGTCGTTCTTCATCCGAACCGCAAACATTTTCAAAGTTTAAAAAAAAACGTCGGATTCGCTGCTTTACCTTCAGATGGGGGGACGGTAAGTTTTTTGCCCCACTCGCGGCCATGTGACATTCATATACATCGCATGACATCATTTGTGATAGCGAATTTGCGAGTGTTTTTCTCTAAATGTCAAAATCGGTGACAGCCCCTAAAGTCGCATCGACAAGTCGATGGTCCGCTGACGGTCTTTCCGTTTGGAAGTTATCGTTCGTCACCTTCTTCCAAGCTGTTGCTATTTTTCCTTGGCCATAACTGATGTCGTTACCCACTCACTACGTTTAGGAGCATTCCTGAACTATGTCTGTTCAGGATCGCTTGATCTATCAAGAGTAACCCAATTACACACACATCTGTTCATGTAGATTTATGGTATATATAGGGGGGATATATATATATATATATATACAAGGGCAGCCTTGTACCATTGTGGCAACGATAGTAGCATCACACGGAACGTCAGAAACAACAACAACAACAACAACTCGTCATGAGGATTATAACGAAACCGCTCAGAATACCGCCGGAGCGTCACGCCGTACTATCACATATTTATAGTAAGAATTTTTATTTTGCTCTCACCTTTGGCGTCGGTGCCATGGTTGCGTAGTAAGCTTGCTCGTTCACTAATTTAAGTTATCACGTCCACCCTCTGTTCTATCTTTTCAAATTGTGCAACATCGTAACCGAAAACATATCGTATAAACGTATAAACCCGTGATACGGTAAGCATTCAGATTAATGATTAATGGAGCAGTGAAAAAGCCGACAATGCATTTAAGAGTCGATTTACACACTCGAGCTTCATAGGCCTAGGAATATTGGCCCTGAGTTTGCCCCACTCTACCTATCGTTGGGCTCATTGATTTTATTCAATGAAAGTGTAGACACGCAGCTGCATGTACAAACCTAAATCATATAGAGAAGTACGACTCTGATCAAGACAGTATTGGCCACGTTCCGTTCTATGAATCGCTACCGCAGAAACAAGTGGTCTGTTTGCCCCTAACGTCTCTACGAAGTCTTAACTCTAATGCCTTTATTTACATATACCGAAAAGACGCAGTTCGTAGAGCGAAGATGAAACCGAATCCCGTTTTATCTCCGCTGTAAACAATGAGAACTACAATTATCTATCTCGCCGTCCACGGTTTGATATCTGGGCCTTAACAGATTTCAGAACAGAACGAAATACACGCCAAGTAGCATGCATGTCTACGTGGTTTAATGGCAAAGCCTTAAACTTGTGCGAAATGGAACTTGGGCCACAAGGACACTCTTATGATGATTTTCTGTTAGTGCGTAGTCAGCGTAAAAAGAGCCAGAAGGCGCCATAAAAAGCATGGGCCTGCTCAAATCTATATATATATATAAAATGTTTCAAAAATCCTAACAGCGATTGAAGAGCCTGAATTCATTGTGGTCGGATTTATGCCTCAGAAATAAGAATTTTTGTTTCTCGTGATCATTCGAGTGCATGCTGTATTTAAGCCGAGAATAGGAGAACTGTGAGCTTCAACAGGCACATCAGCCTTTATGAAATAGTAGCTCGTTTATAAAAGCGATTTCGATTATTTATTATCAAGGGTATCTCCTACTATTGTCCGTTTGGCTTGAGATCAGCTAAATATATAGAATAAATAAATCGTTGTAATTAGGGGTTGTGAAATGGGCAAAAGTGTCTCATCGGCGTGTTAGCGACGATGACGGCTTGTCTATAGATGAGACGTCTGAAAATTTTTTTTTTGATGCTTCTGATAGTTTCCGTTTATCCGCAGCATTATGGCTGAGCGATCTATAATATCTGATATAATCTGTTATATGATCTATTATATGATCCAATATTTATAATCTGTTTATTCAGGATGAGACATCACATGCTAGGCCTCAATGACCAAATTAGGTTTTACCTCAGGGGACACTAACAGGGTCCTCGTTTCCATAGGGTTTAAATCATCTGGCACAAAACACCACCCGAGGGTGATGAAGCTTGCAAAAATCTGCGTGTCACATTACCAAACTAATTTATATGAGAAAATGTCAAATTAATGCGGGGAACATATCTAGTTAACGAAAAATGGACGGTAAAAAAATATGACTCTACTGGCTCGGCTCATCATAAGATCACTCGTGATATAAGCTCGAAGAGAGCAAACATGAGCGTGGCCTCGTCACGACAGGGAATTAAGTAATAACAGGGATAATTATCTTCGTATTGTGATCAAGATAGTTCGATACATTATTGTCGAAACTAGCCACATAAACAACAACCGAAAGGACTTCTGCCAGAATCTAAAATCTAACGTCCAAAATGCCCTAGCAGCATGACACGTCATATTTGCCTTGTGGGGAGCATGTATGATTTTACCAGTTTAGATCGTTGATTTTATGCAAGCAGGATTTGAGAATACTGATAAGTTGAACTACTTTTTTTTGTCTTTGTCTAATATAAGGGGAACAAACTTTAAAAACGTACACAATACCGTAAGTTTGCTACATCAGCTTGAAAACTATTAGGTTTCTACAGTGGACTGTGAAACCCGCCCTAAACGTTATCGTGATCTGTGCCCTATAACTGGATTAATTTGTCTAACTAAGATAAGCACGTTACATACGTTCTACGAAAACTGTGATTTGACGTGCAATTGTTGTTGTTTTTTTATTACAGATAATGTTACTTAATATGACAAACTTCAGTGAACTATCGTAATCGATAGATGCAGCTATGGGATGACAATGAAACGATTCTGCAGGCCAATTCTGAGCCAAAATGGACCTCTATTGTATGGACAGGATTTTATTCATAAAATTATTGCTTGTAAAGTATGATTTTTCAATGAATTTAAGTCGCATAGCGGTGAATTGCATCGATCGGGTGGCACCGCTGTCAAGACCGACTGGCAGTTCATAGGCTTCTAAGAACTCTGGTGACTCTCAGTATAAAGCGGGGCCTGAGTGCTATTGCACTGTCTTTCGAAACAAGCAACATGGTTCAAGTATATATTACGATTATATCTATATATTAGAAAAAATATCCGATGATCTGATCAGCCATGTGGAGAACAGGTGGAAAAACCTGGTCGGTACACGCATGCGTAATGCTTGTTGTCACAATGTCAGGTTGGCCTTGGATATACCCCTACTATCACGACTGCCGCCCCCGGCTATTTTCTTATTTACGTTACTGGGCAATAACAGCTTCATCAGTAGGTCAGTCATCCGCTGGGGGGCCATTAGTTGGAGCGATAGCCAGCTGGCAGTGTGTTACAAAGAACAAATAGGTGATTTCCCTACAGTCGGCTCCATTAGAATGCACCGGTGGTGACGTCGTTCGACAACTGAACCTGTTGAGCGAGTTAAAGGCGGCCAACGCAAGTATATTATTATGTTATTCTATATCATGCTATATACGGCAGCAGAATCGCCAAAGCCTTTGGCCATTGCACGAGATTGATTCGTCAATCGTTGCTGAAGACTATTATCAAAGGTGGATCAATTTGAGCGACACAAAAGTTACAGTCTGTCATAAATGGTAAACGAATAAACTTACTATCACTCGTTATGTGAACGAACGTATTGCCGTTAATCGATTGTTATTACCGATGCTGATCCGGATGTCAGTGAAATAACAACATCGAAACTTTTTTCATGCGCCGATGTTGCTGCTAACGACGACCAAACAGCCGCTCCCCAGTACCCCCGTCCCAGGGGCATTATCACCATTCTGTTTATTCGTATGGTAGCAATGGGAACCAGTTTGGAACATGGGAAGGTTTCGCTATACGCAGTTGTTGTTGTGATAGCTTCACACTACTGCGTACGTCGATAACGACTAGAATATAAATAACGGTTTCCGCCTATAACGTTATTATATACATATATGTATGCATAATAATAATAAGTCATTACGTTATCTGTAGTAGTAGCGGTAACAGTAGCACTCAAAGAGCCAATTTAGTCTGCAGTTGTACGAGGAAGAAGGCAAAGACACAGTTTGTTATGCCGATATCGTATCACCTAGCTGTTACACTCCGAGCGGAAGCTGGAAACGATGGAATTTACGGCCGAAGTCGACGCCGACGTTAGCCTGCGTGTAAGTTTGCGTTGAAGCACTCCGATGCCTGCTAGGCTCGTGATGTTGACGATGATACAGGTGACCCTCGTCCTGCAAATCCATTGGGTCGTCATTATACGTGCCCATAAGCAGACGCTAGACTTTTTACTGCCGTCACAGACAAAATAACAACGTTGTCTTTCATAGAGCTTTGTTGCTATTGCCGCTGAGTGTTTTTAACTGTCTACTAAATTTTCGAAACGTCAGACCGTAAACCTTTCTCAATTAATGTCAAATATGAAAATCATTATACAATGATAAGTGGACGAGTCTGAGAACTAGGTTAAACGACTGGATCTGAGAGTGTATGAAAATAACTCCTTTCGGGTTATTAAAAGTAATCGGAATGCAATGTCTGTTTTGGTGCGTAAGTGATTACCCTGTCTTTATAATGAGAAAAACGTCAGAGAACGTTTGCGAGAACGAATGCTACTTGTCCTTTTGCTAAAGCCGTACTGTATAAAAACGAGCATTTTACCTATATGAGGTTCCACTAATGGTTGTAGTAGAAGGTTATGGTGTAATCGCCAAATAATAAGAAAAGACACAAAAAACTTTCGTTGATTCCATATGTATGTTTTCACAAATCGTTCTTATTTCCATCGACCTTCTTGTAAGATGCATTTTCATTAGCGTCAATTGCCATTCAGGCATCCCAGCCAACAGATGCATACGCTAGCTGACTAACATCCAAGTTAAAAAAGATATATGTGTATTTTTTGTCTTTCTCGAACTTGTCTCGTTTATTTTATGTATTTCAATAAGTTTTGGTTATGGGAAAATCTTTCAAAGATATTGACTCGCAAGCGGTTGGTCATGGCTGTTTGCCCCCTTCCGCAAACCGCTTCGTACCTCGAGAACGGTTACAACGACAATTTACTATGACGGTGCATTTGTGCGGATTATATTAATTTTTTTTTTCTTTATTTTTATGTGGGGGAAGCCGAAGCTGTGTAGAATAAAACTTACTAAATACTGTTATTGAGAACGCCCGATGGCAGGAGAAAGAATAGAATTATTAAGCCAATATATTCGTCAAAGGCTCTTCTATTCCGCGCCTGAAATAGGCTTATCGCACTTATATTCGAAAGGATATCAATCGAAGGCGTCAATTTCGTTAACCTATGCAACCCCAAAAGGTGCAGTTGCAGAGATAGGTAGGGCTATATGCCTAGAGGTGGGGTTAGATGTGTCAGAGATGGCTTATTTAGACCACTAATAATCTGTACAAACGAATCAGTCATTTGACAAAATCAGTGCGAAAGTGCGTTGTTTTTTTTTTCTCTTTAAAAAAGGCTGTGATTATAGCTAGTGAAGCCAATGCTTTGTAATTATTTACTATCAAGTTAGAAAGGTCAAGGATTGTAATTCGTCTGCCATAGATCCACATGAAGTTCTGTGAAGCCTGTTTTTGAATGGCCTAAGCATTGGCCCATCGACGAGTTGCAGTTTGTTCGTGCGCACCGTCCTTTCAAACGTAGCTCAATCGGACTGAAGCCTGTGTAAATTTTTCTGGCATCCTAAAGAACGGTCCTTGTCATGCGCAATATGACACATATGTCGGCAGTATTGTTTTAGTTCAAAAAATAATTGTAAGTAAGACGTTGTCGAAGACAATTATATGGGATACAGCGAACGGGAAAACATTTTTACTCTAGCTGAGTTCTACTCGAAGAACAAAATCCTGTAACGCGCGACTAGCGTTAGATTTCTAACTCGTGGGCATTTTAAATATTCTTGAAGTGTTATCGCATTAAAAGCAGAAGCAAAGGATCTCCCGGTAGAGAAAAACGGAGTGGCTTATATAGATCTTGTTCCATATAGCTCCAGCTTTCGTTGTTCATTGCTTTACTAACCGTCATTTGACACGTAGATACATAAGTGGTTCTACGATGAAGTCGTGTTTCTGAAAATAACACGCGTCTCGATCCCGTTTTTTTAGATCTCTCTCTAAGGAGAGGATCACGAGGTGTATTCGTATGTATGATATAAATGACATTCCAAGGATACGGGATAAGTCGACTTAATGTTATAAACATCCATTGAGCAGCTCCCCTATATTCAAGTAGCAAGGTTGTCTTTCTTAGGCCTGTTGCTAGGATTCGGCTGGCTGCTATTAACACCTCGGCGAGAGGTGTCAGCATAAAGCACATGTACAGGGTGTGCACATTGCTGTATATTGCACACCTGTATGAATGTATAGTTTTGCAGGTATCGGGCTGGTGTGTTCATGTATCATTAACTATATGCATCTGAGTCTTGGGTGGTGCGATACGACGATACGGGCACTTTTTTGCACCGCTAATATCGAATGAGGTAGATGAAAAAATTCTGAACCCTTCCTTACGCATTTCCTTGTTACACATCTTTTGAACGCTCTGATTCAGCGAGTTCACTCTTTCCACCTGTCTCTCTCTGTTTGGACAGCCCATTTACTTCGCAAGCGGCAATGGTGGCGATGGCGACGTGGTCTGGGTGGCTAATGCGTATTTCCTTGAGTTCGTTGTCATAGTAACTATGAAGATGCGGCCATCACTGGTTCAAATTTTCGCGTTGCCAAATAAATGGTTATTTTTTGGCATATTATTATCGTGCTGTTTCATAGGTAGGTCTGTTGGTAAGTCCAGCAAGATCCGTTTAAAGTGTTCCCTAACAGCTTAAGTACCGAACATAAAAAACTACTTTTACATTGACAATTGACTTTCTAAATGATTCCGAGTAACGGCTTTTGAGACGGACGATGACGACGGACGACAGGACAACACCTATTACCGCCATGGTGATGATGATGACCGTAGCGATCGTCATGCGCTTCGTCATCATCATTGCGTCGTCATAGATAGAAAACGGTAAGCTTACGGTCTGTACCCACAAAACGCAAGAATAAATTATTTCTAATGTTGTTGTTGCTCTCCGCGATAAGCTGTAGCTAGCTTCGTTCGATCATATATATTAAGCCGAATGTACAACTTGCGTTGTATATCGTCACGATCGCCGCTTGTGCTATTGCCAATGATTCTGATTATTGAGGTGTGGCTATTTGTGTGTTTACCTATCTGTCGATGTTTTTGATGTATGGCAACCGCAGAAACTGCTTTCATTGCTGCTTGGGACCCCAGGGACGGAGCTGTATTCGAGCAGTGCCTGCTATTACTGCCGGGGGCCACTTTTAACTATTTAACCGTCAAAAGCAGCAACAGAACGACGTGAGCACGGAGAAACAAAACATTTGACACTAGAGCAGATTATTAAAAAAAAAAAAAAAAAAAAAAAAAAAAAAAAGCTCTGTTAATATAACATTTCCTATCTGTTGTTCTCCTTCTAAGAAGCAGAAGGCGTTGATAACAACAACTTTTGATAAGCATCATAGACGAGCGACATTGCCGCCACCGCCATCAGCACGACTACCGGCAGCGTGATATGGTCGCCGTTACTTTGCCACTGCCGCCCCTGCTGCAATGAAGGGGCGCTCATGCTCGACCCGGTCGGGTTGTCAGATCGAGTTGCTTTCCGCCTTTTCTTTTTTTCCTTTCGTATAGCAAAGCAGCTACATAACGAAAACGTTCGCTCGATGGCTGCAGGTCGCCATTAGCCGCGACAGGCTCATAGTTAACCGAGTGCTGACGCCCGCTGCTGCTGCTGCTGATGGTAACAACGATGGCAGTCAACGTCGATCTGTGGGGCTTCTTGCCCCGCTACCCTTGAATACGCTACAGGATTGCGTCGTCTCGAAAAGGTCAGAGGTGACATCTTTTGGCGATGCATCGGAGCATTTGTTTTTTTTTTATTGCGCTATCCTGTGGCCGCTCATAGCCTCCAAAACGAAGGGTTATCGCGTCACAGACATAAATCAGCTGCATCAACAGCGGCAGCAGCATCGCGTAAAGGCAATAGAAGGCTCGGTGATAATGTGATATGACGGTGCTTTCCAATGAATTTATTTCGTTATTATTTAGTACCGTCATCATATAGTATTAACGTAAACATGTCAATAACGAAAGCAACGACAGTCGGCAATATCGGCCGTGGGTGTGTCGTATTCGCTTGCCTTGAAGCTTCTTTCCGTAATAGGCTATTGTCTTCCCCCTGGTCATCACTATGCAACAACAATGAATGTCATCTATAATATGTATGTATCGTACCCTTTCTTCGTATCGTGAATGATAAACCGTGTGAATGAAATTAGTTCATTTGCTTATTCAATGGAATCTTCTCACAAGCGGCCGCGTGAGAGGGAGCTGTCGATACGACATTCTGGTTGTTGATAAGCCGTTTACCTTTGGCAACAACAGGGAAAGATGTTGGCATTATTGATTTATCCACGGTTATCGTTAATCTTTTAGTAGAGAAATAACATTGCGAATGCGATATTTATCTATATAAATGCTGGACCGAATTCAGTTTTTCTGCAGTGATACTGTGGTAAAATTTTTTAAATGTGATTTCTTATCGATGCTAATGATTTTTCTTTGTAGTCTTCACTGTAGTGCACTGTTTAGCGATCAGATATTTGATCGGAGTCCTGCCTGCGAGTAGGTCTTCTCTCTGATTTACGCGGCTCATCTGTAACGACTAAGCTCCTGTTTGTGGTGCTTGAGGCTCCGACATGTCCTATTAAACTGCTCCGCGTCACTTGTTAACGATAATAACCTACAATGCTTATCTAACAGGCACATGCCAATCGACAGGCACACAAATGGAGAGTGGCCGTAACTTCTTACGCTGCTGAGACCCATCGTTATCATTACGGTGTACCTACTCTAAAATTTGCTCCTGATCTCCGAGTCCGCAGCGGTTTTGGATGGCAAGTAAGTAAGTGGTGCCAACCAGTTACTGCAATCATTACGCAGAACTAATTGATCGCTGTCTATAAAAACGTGCGTAAAAAGTCGTGTACAACTGATATATGTACAAACTTCCAGATACTCTGAAAACGAATGAGAGTCAGAGTTCGAGAAAACCTGTACGGATTCGATGAACCGTCACGCTTTACGTAACGTTTCATTCTAAATATGACTAATTATTAAGATTTCTTTTACAAAAAAAATATGAAGAATATGTTTTTTTTTTAAATTTTTTTTTCACTAATATTCTATGAAAATATTTGCCTTCATGGGCGCCGGTAAACGGTTTGATCATTTTTACTGGCATCATAGTTAGCTACCGTTCAAGTCGCCGATAAAGCACTCGCTTTGATTCCGACGAATGCCAGTTAAGAAAAATGTGCAAAAATTACGGTCAGATCATGGAAGCAGCGTGCTCTATTGCTGTTGCTGTTATGTTTATCTATCTTTTTCCTCCATTGTTTATTTTTCTACCTGATGGCTCTTTTCGTCATAGATATGTTTTCCTTTAATTCTTTCGTGTTCCGCTTTGTTTTAAGGTAAGCAAACGTATCGAGCTGAAAATCGACAAAAATGTTGTTTGACGTAGCTGGATAGCTATGATGATGATAGGACGAAGGGGGGGGGGGGGGTGAATCGTTCCGTCGCACGCTTTAGGGGCAAAGTGAAGACAATAAGCATTTCCCTGTGTTCCGCTAGACAAGCGTCGATGCTGCTGCTGCTGCTGCTACTGCTACTACTACTGCTGCTACTGCCGCCGCCACGTCTATATTATCATCATCATTGATGCTGTTTCTAGGGCCTCTGATGCCGCCTGCGGCCGCCTTCAGTTACCCTTGAAGAGGAGGACGACAACGGTTCTTGCACCAGGGTGTCGCTTGCCTTACAGCAACCTCTACCGTATTGCTTCTATGTTGCGGCTCATCTGTTGGTGAAGATGCTCGCGCGACGCGGACTCGTTCGCAGCGGTGACTTATGCTTCCTACCACCGGCGGATGACACTTTCAATGTGAACAGCGGCAGCGGCGGCGTACCATAAAGGCCTCAGTCGTGGTGCTGCGAATGTACTGGGGCTTTGTCGGGCTAGACTCCGGGAACGGCTGTTGGCGACCGACTGCCGGCAGGCGCTGAGTTATTTCGGTGATGGTGTGAGTGTGAGTTTTTTGTGATGAGACGTCTGCTCCGCTAGCTAAACGGCCCAATGACTGCAATAAAAATAATAAACCCATCTTTGTAGACCTAGATCGAGTTCAGTTGATTCATTTTGCCGTCTGCTAACGATCAAAAGGGCGCGCACCCAAAGGCGTTTATGGCGATGATAGTGACGACCGTGACGCTCCTCAATAGCTCAAGCAGGTATCACATAGTATTGTAGGAAGATAAATATGATCTATTTTTAGCAGCCATTGCTTGTAGCTGATGAACGCTCGCCTTCGTCTAGTCAGATCGAATTTTAGGTTACTTCAGCTTTCCTACCGCTTTGGAATATTAATATAAGCTATTACGTTTTTGCATTATAGGCCCCAACTTCAAAAGCCGTCACATTAGTATTAGCTCGAGCATTTCGTAATTAATCACCTGCTGATATGTCGACGTTGATAACGTAACGTTGATAAACTAACGTAATCGATAAATGTTTACATCTGGCAAACTGGAAAAAAGAATGCGGACAAATGATAATGATGTATTACCGTATCCGTTAAAAGTAAATTATAACCCTTAGTTTTTTTCTCCTAGCTTTGGTACTATTATAGAAAGGCTATCAATCAAGATTATAAAGTCAATCCCATTTCTATATATGGTTTGGCAACTTTTCGGCTGGCATCATATCTCGACAGACATGATGGTCGGTGCTGTCAATGGCTACTGCCTTGTGCTCTGCGAAGTGATATATCATTTTGGCTTGTTAACATAGCAAAAGCGCTGCCGGACGTCAATGAAGTTAAGCACGTCTACTTTTCGTCTTTTATACGCATACGTCACAGGCTACAGCTTCCCGCTGGTAGGATTATAACCGCCATGCACGTGGTCAACCTTATAGGCAGAATGCACGATGTCAAAACATTGTACTGCAGTACAGTCGAATATTCATGCTAATCATTGTGCCGTATGGTGAACGCTCATAGAGGACAGTGCCTGTAATCAGTGTCCTAAAGAGGTCCGCTAATTTATGCTAACCAATGTCTACATATCGATATGTAGATATAGATCGAAAATTTTACCTAATGTTGTTATCTAAGCTTATTCTTTGACGGATTTACCGCTACAAACTGCAGTATCCTCGTGCCGTCCCGTCCCCAAGTATGTGACGGTACCACACTTCCGTGCTAATGTTTTTTCTATTACGCTAAGAAGTCATTTGATGTAGAAATTGATTAATAAGTGTAAGCCAGAGGAAGAATACACTTTGTTGGAGAAATGGGACTACTCCTTTTTCTGTTGCTCTTAAAGACTAAAAAGCACATCTTCCTCCTTGAACGTGATAATTTTCCATAATATGATATTGGGAAGTTCCGTTCCTGTTGACCAATGTTTGACTGTAGTAATCCTGAAGTGACTCCGGTGCGCCGTCGAATGCGTAACTACTTACCGGCTAGTTGGTAGTCGTTTCAATGTTGTGAAATTCTAAATGATATCTTCCTCTTCAGTATACTGAAAAACGCAGAAGTAGGAAGAAGTTTCAATCGGTTCTCAAATGTTCTGCGTGTCGTCTAGAAAAACGCGTCCGTTCAACAATCTGCCCCCAGGGCGTACTTTCGAGTTGCGCCGACGAAAACCTAGATTTTATAACAAGCTACCGAGGCGACCTTGATTTTAAACGAAACCCCATTTTGTAAACGGGCATCGAATAGATTCGTCCAACACAGGATCATGTCAGCCCGACTCGTTTCGAGTCCTCTTTTCGAACAACACTCCCATCCCTTCCTCTAATAAAGGCTGTCGATTTTTAGTATGGTTTGCTTATTTGAAGCACATAAACCGGGTAAATATTCCCCTAATTGAAAACAAGTGGTAACTAAGTTCACTTTTTCATTATCTCACCCTGATATGAACTCTATATAACCACTAAAGCGTATTCCTTAAGCAATGCTGGCCGCTTACAGAGTTTACTTCAGTGAGTAATACAAAAAGTCGAAGATTGTTGTACGCAGAAAATACCGACCGTATGGCTGTACGCTATGTTATGTTATATATATATATATATATGGATAAGCTTGGAAAACAGGCAGGTCCAGTGTTGAAGGCGAAACGAAGGGGAACAGCCAGGAGGGTGCTAGCTAACTGGTATAAAAAGAATATAAGAGCGTGTACGGGTGGATCTATACAGATCTTGAAATGCCAAGACCTACAGCAATGCAAAACATGTTAAATAGAAGCATTAAGGCTTGTTAGCGCCGGGCTGGTCATACCACTTCATCTATCACGCTCGCTAAAAGGACAGCTGAAACCTGGGTAGTGTGCGTTTTCCTAATTTTGTATAATCTCTTTATGTTTCACCTTCAGGGGATCTATATATGCGACAGTCTTTTTCTGCTTTGTCCTTCTTATGCTTCCCCCTGGCCCTTGTCTTCACTTCTCAATACCCCCAGTTCATGTATTTGCTTATTCTCATCAATATCGAGGTGCCTCAAGTGGCCCCGACTTGTAGCAGAACCCATCGGAGAAAAAAAACCTGGCGAGGATGTCAGGAAGCTAAGCGTTGTCGTAAACCAGCATCACGAAGGAAAAATATGCAGAGGTTAGGATAGAAGGCGCAAGTGGTATCGCTGCTGCTCATACAAATGGTGGCAACGATGACGACTGTATAAGGATAAGAAAAAGCAGGCCAAGCGATCTTCGATTGGCTAGACAACAGCGGCTTACGCGTCTGTGTACTTCTCCTGCCTCTTAGCAGACAGAGCTAAGGCCGTAGCAACGATAGCCTTACGCGGTACTAACCATGAACAATTGCTAAACTGTTCCTGTTCTCAAATACTCGTGAAGTGACAACGTCTTCACGCGGTAGTTCTAATAGCTGCTTTTTGTTACTTTCCGTTGTCTTGCTACCATTTTTTCTTCTTGACGATGATTTCACTGATGATGATAGCGCCGCTGCTGCTAATGGCAATAAGCGCCAAGACGATCTACTTGTGTGCGCTATGGCCAACATTGGAGTAGCGTAACAGACCTCTGTTATGGATGGTATATATATGCGCATCATCATTATAATCATAGATTGCCATGGATGAATCGCTATCGGCAACGGAGCGTTCACAAACAACCATGGGACACCGGTTAGACAACAGCGGACAATGCGACAAAGGTGGTCTTTTTTTTTTTGGTCGGGGGAGTAGCTATGCTCGTTCGCTGGCGTAGGGAAAAAGTACGTAGTACATGCGTATAATTCTGTTCACGATATCGTTGCTTCCACTTCCATTAGATTTGTTTTCGTCGTCGTTGCTGTTTTCGCTTCTATGAAAACAGGTAGCCAGCCCTCTCAGTCATTTAAAGAAGATTGTCTTATTGGTAACAATCCTTACTATTTGAAGCTAAAGTTAGTGGCGATGGCGATGGTGATTTCGAATTAGGCGAAAAACGGTCCTAGTTGTAAACCTTTCTAAGTTGATCCGAGGTCACATGTATGCTTAGCTGGATGGTACAAATTTTGTGCGTATTTGACCATAGCTATATTTGAGTAGGAACAGTAATAGTTGCTGCGGAAACTACATAGTTCTAATAGAACTGGGTTTGATGCAGATAGCACACACATATTGAAACAGTAGAGAAGACGCTTGCTTGCTTTCTTCGAGTGAAAAGATGGACAGAGCGAAAAATCATTATGATGTTGGTACTGCTGATGAGTAAGTTATAGCAGTAGTACGATTTCTAGAAGTGGTCGTTCTTGTGCCAGAATGGTGGCGGGCCATCATCGAGCACAAAAAAAGACAAATCGGCATAAAAGCACGGGAACGAAAACAAAGGCAAACTTGTTCATGATTTCAAATGTTTGCTATCCCGTTATTTGCCGTGGCAACAAGAATAGTGGCAAGCACAATACGTCATCGACGACATCAAGTTGAACGAGGAACTCGACAAAAAGAGCGGCGAACGAGAACGAGTTATCTCTAAAGGCTGCTGAAAAAGGCAGACAAAGCAGGTGCAGCAGTGGCAGGACAAAGACAACAACAGGAACGAGGTTACTTCTCATTTCAAATTGAACCGATGACAGCGACGTCGATGATGATGGCCGAGTCGGTAATTCTGTTGCTAATGGTTCGTTCGCCGTGACGGTGATAGTGCTGATTGTGGAAAAACATTGGCGCGGTACCACCGACTGTTGCCGCGGCCGCGGAAATTGGCTCTCATTGAGATACTTCAGCTACTGCCGCTGCTGTTTGTAAAAGCACTGACCTCTATATACGCACCATATGGTATATAGGGGAAATCGTCCTGGTGATAAAGCTGCGATCCCGATGATGGTTATGATGGCCGCGATGAGTCAGGATCTTTGAAACATATATTTTTTATTCTTGAAACAGCAACCCTCATTTCCAGACTACTTACCGTTTTCGGCTTGTTGTTGTTATTGCTGTTGCTACTGCTCCTGCTCCTGCTAACGTTCGCTGGGTCTGTCCTGATCCCGTTAGTCATCAGACGAACTTCAGCGAACGTCCATTTCCTCTCCATGGAAGAAAATATGGTTTAATGCTATGGAACGGCCGTCTGTATCGTGGCAAAAGGTGAAATGATCTGAAGTAGTGGGTGAAACAACCACGGCATTTGATAGCGCGTATGAGAGCTCCACGAAGAACGGAACGCACATGAACAGGAGTTCGGAGCGTGATGAGCTACGTTGGATAATCAAGCAGAACCTCGACGGTTTCAAAGCCACACTTTTCGACAGAGTCGAAAAGAAGAGTTCTCTACCTGCGGGAAAGAATCTGGTTGTTTCGATTGACGTGACCCTCGCTCTGCAGACGTGTATGCCTTGCTTAGCGGGTGACGTATTTGCCTGCTAATTTTAGGGACACGTTGTGGTCTAGGTTTAATCCGGAAATAGACACACGGTTCGTTTCGTTCCGGTAGCTAGTCATTCGATGGGATCCCTAACGACGGTGCCGAACGTAAAGCTCGAAACATAGAAGCTTAATAGACGTTCTGCTATAATAGCCGTTATCAATTACTTTATATATAATAGTGATTTTAACTCTGCCGTATTGGCAGTAACCTAACAACGTTAATTATTAATCTTGAATTTTGGTGGAACTCGTAGCAGATTTATAAGTTACTAAAATGCAGCTTCTCATTGGTTCAGGTCGGCAATCAGTCAAGCCACAGTGTAAAAATAAGTGTTACAAATAGAATAATTATTCAGAACCGCTTTTTTGTGGGCTCAATAATTAACCATAATTAATTGCTTTGCTAACAAAAACAGTGGTAGCATCGGTGAGGAGCACGACAGCTATTGAAAGCAACAATTAACTTTCTATAATGAAACGACTGTTGGAATAACAGTACGTATCTATACACCGTGTGAGTCATAAGCGAGTTCTTAAGCAAACGTTTGTAGCTAAGTTGGACATGATAATTGTCTTTGTTTATCAGGCCCGTTATTCGGTACCGTTACCGGCACGCATGACCGGCTAGATCATCTGAAGATCGAGCTGGAGGCTGCAAACCTCCTATTTTTCATCTGGTATTAGCATTTTTCAAGTAGCCGTTTACAGCTGGTAAAAGGTCGTGAACAGCGGGACACACAGTCACAGAGAAAAAGGAGTCTAGCCCCGAAACAGGATGCCCAATCCTTCGGCTAGCTCACCTAAAGTTTGACGTCGTTCAAATATCAAGGTACCATCATTCGTCTCACCGTGTCTGTCTTCTATGAAATAAGCAGGAAGTAACCCAAACTTAGGTTGACTGTGTGGACAAATTTAAACCATTTTTCTTCAAACTTACGTCCTCTGCTCGCGTGTTCAAAGATTCGACAGCGTTCGAAACATAACAATCTATAGGCTAGATCGCCATAGGTATGGCAATTCGAAGGTAAAGCTTTTACCATGGCTATAGCCAGTGTTCATGGGGAAATCAAAACGACAAAAAGTTGTTTTTGACACGTTATATTCAAAAACAATGTTTAATGAAAATTTTCACTAGGTCAATTATTATACATGCACACGTATCGTTATTTTGTTGTTATTGACGCCTAATGTTTTATTTGTGTCTGGTGGTATTTTAGGATATCAAAAACATGCGGGAACAGATCATGCGCGTCAAAAACTCGGACAGCGTGCCAGTTCTGCTTGTCGGCAACAAGGTAAGAGCTTTTCGGTCGGTCTTTTATAAGTATTTCTAATACATTTACATCTTCGAGCCGTTAAAGATCATTCATCCTGTGATGTTATGTCTTCCATTTATCGTCGTGACGAAAAATACCGTTACCACAATAACCGTTATTGCTAACGTGTACAAGCGGTCGTCCGAGGTGCAAAAAAAATCGCGAAATAAAAAGTGGAGTAAGAACGAAGTAGAAAAATCTATGCCATGTATGGTCGTAGCAAAGTGATTGATCTATCGAGTGCCACGTAGCTTTCCACAATAGAAACGTCCGTCTTTAAAGACAATAAAATAGTTTATTTAGATTTACACTGTTGATTCGTGACGTTAGCTCGTGACATAATTTGGGTTATTGGTGATCTGGTTTGTGATGTAAATCGTAGTAATAGCATAGATATGGTATGACTGACAGCCGTTTAGAACGAATCATAGTTATGTGATATTTGAAAAGGAGAAGGAACGCTGAAATCTATTACCTTATCTATGCTTCGGGTGATTCAATCGTATGAGACGGCTGAAAGAAAACAAAATGTAGCGATACGTACAGCTTAGGGGCGCGATAACGAGAGGGCACGTAAACGTCTGTAACAATAGTAGATTAGTTGAATCCTGATTTGAGAATCTTTGCGCGCCCCGCACTTAGGTTACGCCCTTGGTGAGTTGTCTAGATAGACTTTAGAGCACAACCTGTATTGTCGAGATGGCGTTTTGTTAAAGTATTTTACGCTGGAAAGATGCATTAGGAATCGTTTTGTGAGGAGAGGCCCGAGAATCGGTGCTACGTTCTTAAAGAGCTTCGAAACCAGAATCCAGTGGGTACAAAATGTAACATATAGATAAGGTCAAGTTGTGGAAATGAACGGAGTACAACAGCAGTGTAAGAAATATGGACGGACAGCCCCTGTAGGGTATATCGCTCGAACGCAGAAAACCCTTCAAAACCCCTGAAAGGTTCGTTTGGAGTAAAAATAAGGCATAGATACTACTGAGAGATAAATGATCAACGTATGATCCCGTTCGTGTACTAATAATAAATGAAGAAATTGTACGCAGTTTGTTGAGTGTTACATTTATGAAATGCCGGAAAGCTGTTGAAACAATGGAAATGATAATTGTGATAAGCTTCCATGCATTGCCCAACAGACGAACCATGTACTTGACTAAATTGCATGTTGTGCAGATGGAGGTATGTAACGGCATACTATTGCTACGCTAAAACAATTGAAAGAAGCTCGATTCTAACCATCAACCACTGTACAAATATTAATGTACACGTCACGCCGTTAACGCAACGCATTCTAAACGTGGCAGCTGTTCGCGGCTGTAAAAGCTGCAGGGTGACATAAAAGACCACAGACACACATAGAGACATATACATACTTTTCATAGTCTATTTACCTTGTCACATACTAATTGCAACTTCCATTGTCATGGCCACTGTGACGACCCCGCTTATCTCTCTCTCGCTCTCTGGCTTCGTAGGACCATACGTCTACGACTAGCTATTTGTACCATTGTTTCGTTTAACTACCGCGCATCATCATCGTCATCGTCATCACTAAAAGTTACAGTAGGACAAAATCGAGGGTACTGTTATGTAATAGTAAATATTATTAGATAAAATAACTGATTTTGTCCAGTGATTGATGCATCGTTGGGAGGATGACACCGCGGATAGCAGTGGACGCCGGTGGCATTCGGCCACGACTGCTACTGCTACCGATCGTTCGCTCACTAGAGAAATGAAAATGTCAACGTTCAAATGATAAGAACGACCTGATGGTACAAATGGCAGGAACACTGCCAGGAGAAATGCTGGCACACTGATGATGGTTCTCTTCGTTCTGGTGACATCTCCAGAGGAGCAATCGTTACCACAATTCCCATTCTCTGCAACAACAAAGAGAAACAGAAACGCCGTTGTAAATAGACGCTGAACATAATACATGTAGTCACGTACTTGTGTGTATGGCGGGATATGGTTCATCTTGCTTTGGCTCAGTCGCTACCAGTGAAAATTGTTCTTCGACCACTAGCGACAACAAAATAATGATTTTTCTATGTAGAAAGGTCCCGCTTAATCTTTTCGTTGCTCTATCGCCCATTGTCCATTAGCCCCCATTGGCAGGTATTTGACGGTTTGGTGCAGCGTTCGATAGACCATCAACGACAGCGAATAGACTCCACTGGAACTAAGCATATTAGGGGGCAGGCGTTTCAGGGGAAGTGGTAACAATTCACAGTATTATCTGCAGTAGTGCGACATATTATTCTTCGTTGATAGACCTCTCCTTTTTGGGAATTTTGGCAGAGACCAGCTATTGTCTAATTTCTACGTGCTAGACGAACGCCTGTCGAGATTATAAACTTTCTTTCTGCTCAGTTCAAATAGACCGGGTACCGCATGGCAAACGAGTATGCGGCTGTAAAAGAAGCGGAACCAAGTTTTGGCGCAGCAGATCAAAACTTCGCAATAAAGAAGGAACGTTGCGGGCTCTAAAGTTAATCCCTGCCATCAAAAAAACAAGTTCTTCTGATTCTTCTGTTTCGATCGGCGTGTTAATGAAAAAGTTTGATGTGAGTGAGCGTATGAGGTCGCGAATTGTTATCGCGGCACATGATATCTAAAGACAAAAAAAAATTATCGGTATTTTTTGCTGCTCAAGATTGAAGCAAGAGCCCGTTTCAATTTTTCTCTAGTGAGAATTTTTCAATTTCGATACAAAACCTAACTGCTGGATCAGTTATGAGTGTAAAAATGCGCCTAATACGGGTAGCACCGAACTGCCAGTCAAACCTTACGTTCTGAATTTGATGTTCTGTGAAAAATACGTCTCAGCGCCGAACTTAAAAAAAAACAGTTCACTAAAGACAGTTACAACAAAACGTTGTGTAATTGTCGATAGCTGAAGCGTTCGAAGGAAGACTACGTTCTTTAACAACATGGTACGCTGGCAGCTACAAGCTGATCGATTCAGGGGTCTCTCCTTCCGCGCTCCGAGATGAGCATAAATAGTCGCTTAACAAGTTAAATTAATTGTATACTTGAGACTTTACTAAAGACATGCTTGCAGAACTTCAAAGGGAACATTGGAGCCGGGCGTGTGAGTGATTTAGGACCCAAACCTAAGCTGTAATCCAGCGAACGATGGTTATATATAACCGCCGGGAATTATAGTTCTACCATTTCGTTGAAATATCTGTTATTACTTAGATGCAAATCATAGGAAAATTTTGCCAATTCGGGTGCCGTACATTGTTAGCCATTATGCTAGCCAAGGTCCTGTTCTTGCAATATCGTTGTAGAGTAGAAAAAGGAGAACGAAGATCCCGTGGCCGCCATTATGACTTAAAGGGAGACACGCGCGTTTGCCAAGCTAGCTTTACTCTTATCCGCTTGAAACAGAACGATATAAATTAGTGTTCAGTGGTTCTAGAACTCAAATGGAACAGCTAATCAGTACGACGATTTTGAGGCTGACAGTAGAATCGGCCTATTATAAACGAAACTAAATATAGAATTATTTATCAATAGTTTGATTCTGCGTATAATTCATATTCAACAACTTCCGGTTATAATGAGTAGTCAATAGCGTTAGGCATATTTAAACTGTGGCTAATCTCTGAGTGAAAAATGAGTTTTTTTTTCATTTTTCGTTCGTCCTCGCGTATGTCAGTCTCCGGTAGCTAGGACAGCTATCTGCAGTACGTCAAGTACGTACGTACGTACGTACGTACGTACTTACCAAACAGACATACCGCAACAAAAACCTTGGCGTTAATGTCTGTGTAAGAATGAACTTGGTGAATACTATATTTCTACCGTGAGAAAACATCTCACGAAGGGGAAGTTACGTTGTTTTTCCCTCATTGTATTGACATCATTATCTAAAACAAAAGTTTCTTAATGTTGGCAGGTGCCGTAGGTCAACGAGGTGTGACCCAAATACGAATTTCTGTAATAGAAAAATGCTCTACGAAGGCTGTAAGATATTCCCGTAAAAGCTGTGCTAGCTACGACACACTGTACTTTCAAATAAAACGTCGCTACCTTGCGTCGCCATTCAAATGAACAGAACTGTCGACTCAATCAATTGACTAGTACTTAATTAGTATACTTATTAATAATCATGGAGCAATATACTGTTCACATCAGTATGCAATGAGGTTTCGTCACGAAGTTTGTGTGTAAGATGAATCTAAATGAAGAACTCTGTCATAGTCATAATGACGCAGCGTTTTAGTAAACTGAAGTGTTTCGGAAATCTTCTATTTGTCGTTAAAGATATTTAATAGCACAGAGAAGCTCACGCGTGTACATCGTGCTTCCTCCCTAATAGGAGTAAACCACTTACTGTGAATCACAATTGCAGGAATGAACAGGCCAGGGGGAAGAAAAGAGGCAAATCTACTGATACGAGAAAATTAAATAACCACAGAAGGCTATCTTACTTATGCTGTTGTTGTGGGTCTGAATTGTTCCTCCTGAACATTAAAAATGTTCACGCGTAGACGAAACATGGACATATATTTTTGCATACGTATCCGAAGTCGGCCGTTTGATTACTCAGCCGTTCGGGACAAACAGAGATATCACGATCCATCTCGTCTTACAACGAATCATTTGTGTGCCTTCAAAATTTCGACATGTTGCGTATTATGCGTATTATTAATTATGTCCCTATGTAGTGATAAGATTACAAATGCATATCGAGATAATGATAAATATAGCTACTAGCTCCCACATGACCGGACCGGAGGATTGCCTTCGGCTGACAGAGCGTTTCTATAAGCTAAACCGTTTTGCCATCACAGTTGATTTCTACTGCTACTGATGATAGGGCTTGGTCAGCCCCGGTCAGTGCCGCTCTGAACTACTGAATAGTGAGTCCCTTGCTAGGGTTTGTAGCAGTAGATCGATTGTCGAAGGTAAGTGTTTGTAGTGATCCTCCCGATCGTCAACGTAACAACATTTGGCAC